AGGCACTTTTCACATAATTATGTCCATACTGGCATCAAAAGTGCATGAAACGAAGAGTGTGTAGTCTTTGGCATTTTCTGCATGGGTGTCTGTCAAGGTGATATTCCTGGATTACATCATAGTCGGTGCATATACATGACGGGAAGTGGTGCAGTGCGTACAACAGAGCTGCAGCTGTGCAGTACGAGACCGTCTTGAATCCTGCTTGTATGCACTGTTTGTAACACAGGAAATTCACTGGAACAGCAACCATTCAAGCTGTACACTTTTGGTTTCATGCACTCTTGCTGCCATGGACCTTTGTTCTATGGTTTTTTAGGCTTTTTTTGCTTTCGTTTTCAGTTTCTTTTCACAAGATGTCCACTTTCATCCCCTTGTACAATACATATGTGAACACAAGAACAATGGAAACACATTGCTGTGTTGTAGATTGAAAAGGCCTCTCTGGAAGTGTACTCCCTCTCCACTGGAGAGTTTGAAAATAGTGCCCTGGGGGACTTTAACCACGCGAGTACGATATCAACTTAACAGTCATTTGGAAACTTGCTCTTTTACGCGTTTAGTGTCGCCACGTCTGAGATACCACGTACAGTTCTAGTGTTAAATGTGTGTATGTATGCGTGTGTATGTGTGTGTGTCTGTCTGTCTGTGTGTGTGTATGTGTGTGTGTCTGTGTCTATGTCTGTGTCATTCCTTGCATCTTCTGCACAGGCGGTGTGCTTTCTGCACGAAGCAGGCGTATTACTGCACTATGATGATGCTCAGTCACATCTCAGTGACCTGTACTTCCTGGACCCGGAATGGCTTTGCAGCATGATGGCCAAGATTGTCACTCACAAGGAGGTCAACGGCTTCTTGCGGTAAGCGGCGCTGCATTACTGGTGTCTGCCCGTCTGTTCGCGTGCATGTGTACCGGTGTCTGCCCGTCTGTTCGCGTGCATGTGCACCGGTGTCTGCCGGTCTGTTCGCGTGCATGTGCACCGGTGTCTGCCCGTCTGTTCGCGTGCATGTGCACCGGTGTCTGCCCGTCTGTTCGCGTGCATGTGCACCGGTGTCTGCCCGTATGTTCGCTTGCATGTGGTTGTGTATCGGTGTCGTGCGTGTGCATACAAAGACAAGTGTACATATATTTACGGTCCTGGGTAGTGGATGCAATGGTATAATTACCGTATTCTATAATGACTAAACATTTTAAAAACACTTTTTTCGTCCTATTATTGTTTGAACTAGCTCTGCCTCTCGGTATTGAGCACTCTCTTGGACAGCCTGGAACCTCTCTGTTTTACTGTACAATTACCGTATTCTGCCTGCTGCTTCTATTCCGTGTGTTATGCTCAAGTTTCAATGTACTGCCGCTCTAGTGGGACTCTGTTGCTGGTTTGTGTGTGCGTGTGTGCTTTGTGGTGGTGATGCAGAGATGGCATAATGGAGCGCTCTCAAGTCGACCACCTGTTCGGTGAGGAGCGCAAACGCCTGCCCACCAAGTTCATACCGCAGTACCTGCGCCTGCTGGAACGCTTTGAGATTGTCCTGTCGCACGAGAAGGACGGCAAGCCCTACTTGCTGATCCCGTCGCTACTTCCCACCAAGCGGCAGGTGTCGGCGTGTCCGGGCTTTGGCCCCCGGCGCATTATCCGCCACTACCAGATGCCGTACATCCCGCTGGGCTTCATGGCGCGCCTGATAGCCCGTCTGTACCTGTTTGCCGACTCGATGCTCGACACGAAGCCGGTGAAGGCCATCTGGCGTTCCGGCGTGCACATGCTGTGGCACCATCAAGCGTACTGCATCGTGGAGGCGAGTGATATCTCGGTGTTTTTTTTTACTGTGCTCAAATCACATCTCTTCCATCACCTAGGAACTGCTAGTACAGGGACTGAAAATCCTACAGTCCATTCATTGGAAACTGGCGCCCTAACGTTTTGGTGTCTACCGCCCATAGATGGAGATATCGTGAAAACAACTGTACATCCTGCATTGTGTGACCCGTGCAATTACTCCTTGCCACATTTGAGGCCAGATGAGTCCAAGAACAGGGAAATAGAAATTCAGCCAGGTTTTACAAAATTAGGACAGGTATGCCATGGCAAAATGTACGGAGAAGCAGATCCCAAACCCAGATTTGAGATTTGAAGTGGGTTTTTGATCCTCAATTCGGCCCAAATCGGACTTTCAAAAGCCAGCGGGACTGTTTCCGATTAATGGACTATAGCCGTGATGAGATCAAGGTGGCGCCAACCACAAGAACATTTTGGTGTCTATGTACTTGTGGTAGAACACTGTTCTGCCATATCCACCTAATCAGTCCATACTCGCATGCCATGACCAACCACTGACTGCCCTTACAATACATACATGTACTATTATAATTAGCTCATTTCCCCGTTCGATGTTATTACGTTGCCTGGTGCCCGCTCGATGTTAAACTCTGTGTGAGTTGATGCCAAAGATCCTGACTTCTGTACAATAGTACTATGCTGTCTCTACGACTTAGCTTGTACGTGTACTGTCTATGGGTGGATTTCCCGTTACATAATGTGTACAATTTTGCCCTTCGAAAAGCCTTCCACGTGTGGATGTTGCCAGCCAGCTGTCCACCGTACACAGGAATTTGGCTTGCGTGAGTTGCCCCTCACTGCAGCGAATCCGCTCGCCTGCTTCATCAATGAGGCAGGATTTCACGTGCCATCGCTGTGCCAAGTTTCTCTTGCACGCTTGCTCGTATCGTTATCCTCATACCTGACATACGGTGTTCCTTCAATTCTCCCTACTACTTAGTATGTTGTTCTCACTAGGAAAGTTGTGAACATCATGCAAATAATTTTTTCAACATCGCAATAACGATTTTTTTTAATGCAGCGCATACGCAGATCGGGAGTAGCAACTGAATAGAACGGCTAACTGTCAGTTGACAAACGCCCTCTTTCTTTGCGCTGCTCTCGCTTCTTTTCTGTAAATGTTCTGCCAGGTCACCGGCAAGGAGGAGAACCGGCTGGAGGCGAGCACCGGTGGCTTCAACTTTGACTGCACCACGGACACGATCGTGATCGAGGTGACGTGCAACCCGAGTGGCCGTCAGCTGCTCGGCTACCTGGCCGACAACTTTGACACGCTCGTCGAGGAGTGGTACTCGGGCCTGAGCGAGTGTGACCTCCAGGGCAACGCGCTCATACGGTCCTATGCCGTCTGCCCGGACTGCGCCGAGGTGCCGATCGACCCCTCGTCCGGCGAAGTCATGGACAGCTACCGCTTCCCGTTGGACGACCTCGTGGTTCAGTCGGAGGGTAGTACGACGGCGGAGTGCCCCTTCCACTGTAGCCCCGTGCCCATCCGCGACCTGGCGCCGGATATCATGCTCGGGGACTTGCCCGACTCGCTCATTCTCGATCCGGACAAGTTGCAGTTTGACGCGCAGTCTGCACATCGCCTCGGTAAGGGCGGCTTTGGTGACGTGTTCCGCTGGACCTACGCCGGCCGAGCGGTGGCTGTCAAGGTGTTCAAGTCACGCGGTGGTGACGTGAGTACAGTACACACTGCTTTAGATTATGTATGAGCTTACTTCTCTCTCTCTCTCTCTCTCTCTCTCTCTCTCTCTCTCTCTCTCTCTCTCTCTCTCTCTCTCTCTCTCTCTCTCTCTCTCTCTCTCTCTCTCTCTCTCTGTCTCTCTCTCTCTCTCTCTCTCTCTCTCTCTCTCTCTCTCTCTCTCTCTCTCTCTCTCTCTCTCTCTCTCTTTCTCTTGTTCATCTGTTTTCACAGGCTCGCGTGCTTGTGACTTCTTGTGGTGCATATCCTGTTTGTGTGTGTGTGGGGGGGGGGGGGTCTGTCTGTTTTTCCATGTTTCTGTTGTTGAAACTGCTACCTGTCCATGCTTCTCTCTGCTTGTACTCACAGTTTTACCATTGCTACTGTAGTAGAGTAGTGGGCACGGCACTGACTATGCTTCTTGGCGTGTTGTGCCTGAATCCAAGTAGAGACATGCACGCCGACTGTACTGAGAATGTGGGACAGATGCACTGCTTTGACCTCTGCTTGAGATTTGGTACAACTGCAAGTAATGCTCCTGTGCAGGTCCGTGTCAGTAATTGGAAAATCTAAAATTTGTTTTTGGGGGAGAGAAGAGGGGAAGGGGGGGGGGGGGGGGGGAGGCTGGGGTAGATCTTCTCAATGTACTGTGTGAGGTCATTTCATGACTGTTGTGAATACGCTCTATGTGTATTTGTGGTGCCACTCCTCGCAGAGCACGAGCAGCCCGAACCGCTTGCTGCGTCAGGAAGTACAGGTCATGCGTCACCTGCAGCACCCCAGCGTTATCGACCTGGTCGGCGTGCAGCTCCAGCCGCGCTACCTCATCATGGAGCTGGCACCGCAGGGATCGCTGCGCTCCATTCTCGAACGCCAGGAGCCGCTCTTCCGGCCCGTTCAGCACCGCATCGCCTTGCAGGTATGAATGTGTGCATTGGGTTGTTACCAAAGCAATTCCTCCTCCACCGCATGCGCTCTCTGGCCGACCTCATCACACCAGCAACATGACCCCAAGTTGTAGATACTGACACATAACAGTTCCTCCGTATAGCGCTGTTTCGACCATTAGGCCACCCTTTGTTAATTCATTGTTTAACGTCCTTTTTTTTCCCGAAAAGGTACGCGGGAGGGCGAAAAACAAACAAAAGCCCATTCCAAAAACTGGAAACCCCAATCAAACATTTTGACCAGTAAAGCATGTGATATATACAATATTTCTGGGTCTAACGGCACTTGCAGGCATAGAACAACACTCTTTGATGGTGCATTGGAGCACATGCCTGATGAATCCAACAAAACAGGTACATAGCATGGAGTTAGCATGTCATGAATTCATTACATCTGGATTTTTACTAGGACACACCGTACGATATTTAAAAGCCAACAAAAAAAGAAAAAGAACACAAGACAAAGGCATGCCCGGGAGGCAAGATTATAAGTTTAAGGTCATGATCGGCACACTGTGAAACTACACAATCATGTATTTACAACTTTGCATATTATTGGTACTACAGATAGAAATGAGTGAAGCATTGGAACTGCAACGCAAACCCATCATATTAAACCATGCATTTCATTGCAGTGATGAGTGAGTAATTGACATTGTTCAACACAATAGTACGGATATAGAACGGGAAACTGCTGGCACGAGCACCCCAGCCAACATGAAACATGATTCTCTCTTTAAAGGCTCATAAGCTACACTAAACCATAGCTATCACAGTCCCCTTGTTGTGCCACTACGGTTATTCTAGACATGTGTTCACTGAAGTACTACGAATGGCAACAGTGTGCTCACTACGGATGCTTACGCTTCTTGCCACGGCCAACCTTCTGTTCCCCACGAACTCGTTCAGCTGTGCCTGCTGCTTTGCAACCAGCACACACAAGGTGAACGGTCTGACAGCGCTCAGCAAGTTCCGCCGGGATCTCCAGAGGGTCCGAAGAGCCGCAGCTGTAGCATACGAGCTGGAACTTCTTACTAGAGTAGTAGTGCCGGGAGGCTTGGGACTTGCAGGTGAGCCCACTGCGGATGCCTGCAATGCCCGTCAGACAGGACTCAGGTGGGGCCAATGGTGCACCACAGATGTAGAGGTGGTCTTCCTTCACTTGAGCTAGTGCCTGCACCTGGTCAGGCTGTAGCTTCTTGCTTGTGTGGACGCACCGTGGCTTGCTGCATTCACCACATGTCACGAATGCCCGCACTGTTTCAGCTTTGGCAGTGAACGGGACTCCATCCAGCTGCGTATCACTCGCAGCCTTGGCTGTTGCTAAAGACGGACGGAACTTCTCAGTTGTCTCCTGGCCCCATACATCTTCAAATGGCAGATAGCGCTCACCGGACAGGACAGGGTCTGGAAAGCGGCAAAGACTGGCAAACTCCTCTGGTGGTAGCGTTGGGGGGCCACAGATATTGCACTCAACCGCTCCGCACTTCTTGATTGCGAAGAAGTAGTGGCGAGCCGTACAGCAGTGTGCCATAAACTCCTGCAGCTTGACCTTCTTCTTCAGTTCTGACTGCGTTGTGGAACCCGGCAACACTGTGTCATCGATGCCGCCCATTTCTGTCCATAGGTCCTCCATTTCAGCTGTCGAACATGCGTTCATCGACTGAACTGGCACATCGTGCAATTTGAGCCTTGAGAACACCTCTTCCAACATGGTCTTAGCTGGCTCAACAGACTGCAGCAGGGCATCTCTCAGTTGTGGGTGCTTGTCTGCGAGTTCGCGGGTGTCAGCCATGCTGCTACACTTGGCATACAATCGTTCATTATCATCGGACATGGATTGTCGCATCAAGCCGACACTCTGGAGACCAAGTTTCGAAATGACTGCATTGGAGCGGTCCTAGCTGCAACAAGGTAGTCCAGCTGCAAGCGGCGAAAGATGCATATGAGCGCCAGCTGCACACTGCTGTACGTCACCCGGTGGTCTGGACCTCCATCTGAATGTAGCAAGAGAATCGGCTTCAGGACGGTATTGACTTGTTGCTTGCGAAGCAACTGCACGATTTCTGTGGCATGGCGGAGAGGGCTTGACGGGCAGAAAGTGGACTCCTTCAGTGTGACTGTCACCTGGCCACTGTAGAACGACTCGCCTATCGTGCTAGGCGTTGCACACAAGAGACTCACTGACGGCGTGATCTTGGCCTTGGTGAAATCATGGTCGGACACGCTTGGCGACATCTTTTGCCACAAGGACAGATTTGCCACGATCTACGGCAGCGACGGGACAACCTGGCTCCCCGATCTTGATGTTGTGCTTGTCGTCAACACAGAGAAGAGATGCATGGTCACGATGAAGCACAGCCAACTCATGGAGGTATCTAAATATAGCAGCAGCATAGTGTGAATCAATATGCTCACTGTTGAGCTGGCGAGCTTGCACCAAATTTCGTATCGTCAGGCGACCGGTGTGCTGCACAGCCGTTGCGATGTATGGGTTCTTGGTCCAGAACTGAAGGCGTACCCATGACTCACTTGGTATGGGCACATCACTAGCTAGCGTTGACGCGACTTGCTGGATGAAGTCTGGCACCGAGAAGGCCATGGCGAAATGGCACACCTTCCCATGGCGCCGACTGTCAACAGCATTCAGTGCCGACTTCTCGATGAATTGTTCCGCGGCTCTCCAAAACTCTTCATACTTCTCTGGATTGCCTTCATTGAGTGCGCGAAGGTCGACAACAAGGTCTGGGTCTTGGGCATCCAAAGCTACATTGAGCCGGGTCCTGACATTCTTGCTCGCTTGCGTAGGCACAGCAGATGCATCACCAGTTAGATGTTGGTACATGTCAGCCAGAACAGTCGGAGTAGCCTTGGAAATCAGTTCATACCGGTCAGTGAAGGCTCTCTTCATGGCACGGGAGTGGTAACTTGGTATATCCTTTGAAATCCTGGCCACGATTTGCGTTGTCTTGTTGACATCACGATCACAGGGCAGTCCAGGCACTCTCCACATCCAAGACAGCTTGCCCATGAAGTTGCCATGGTCATACTGGTAAATCTCAGTGCAGCATGGAAGTTGCAACTCTTTCAGGTAGATATAGCTGTGAGCACAATAGACAGCACACACACGCACACAAATCAACAGGCTAGCTAGCACATACAAGTACTCAATTATGTTCACACTATGGGCGGCCTCATAACATACTGGGAGGAGAGACAATCAGTCAATGACAGTGCATTGAGGCCACTGTCGACTAAGCGTGGTAAGGACATGTTGGCAGTCAACCATGTTACAATATATCCACAGCAGCTGCGCAAACATAACAAGCCTAGTTTCAAACTCACCGGTCTCTCTTCTCAGATGGTAGGAACTCCGAAAGTTCAACAGGATCCCCATACTCGGTCATGCTGCACATCCGTTCTTCAAGTTTCGAATAGCGAGCTACCTTGGTGGGATCTATGCGTATGGCTGACTCATAAGTTGTTACTGAGGACGACGTCCCATCATCTGTACTCCGCACCTCATCCATTGCCTTGTGAGCTGCAGAAACCTTCTCACATGTGCTCTTCAAGTATAGGCTGTACTTGTGTAGCCCTGATGCCAGCTCATCAATCGCCCCTGCCATGGCCTTCCAACGTGAATGGGAAAACCAAGGAGATGCACGTGCATCATACAGTGCAGAGATCATTTGATCCAATGTCTCCCGACAGAGTGGTGGCAGTTTCCCGTGCTTGTGTGAAGCTGGATCGTTGTAGCTGGCTTTTTGCTCCTTCTCTGCGAGAGGTTGAAACAACGTGGGAAGGTGAAAGCCCCGAAGTTGCAATCGTTCAGCACGAGCCTTTGGCAAGATTTCGATAAGCGCATTTGCAACAGCTGCCACGAACTTTCTGCGGCTGGTTCCTTCACATCCATTCGTGAAGCCAAGTTCAAGGTCACCAAGGAGCGCGACAGTATCGTTGAAAATCCGCCAATCTCCACGGTACGTTCCGGACGATCTCGTTTCCTCCGTGCCCATGAGGTCCGGCACCCTCAGCACTTTCGCTGCTCCCATCATCACCGAGAAAGCGTTCACAGCGGCAGGCGTAGGAGGGGAAACTTCCGCAACAATCGGCAGTTCAACAGTGATGGACTTTCCAAAACTCTGGCAGCATCGCACGACGTCCAGACCTGTGCCCACCTCCGACCTTTCAGATGTCGCCATCGTCATGCTCAAGAATACTTTCACTTCACCGCTCGGGCGGATAACAGGTACTTCCTCAAACAGTTTCTCTAGAAACGATCCAAACGTCGTCCTCTCACGAACCTCACGCACAGGCCATGGCAAGGGAATAGAACGACCTTCAACTATCCTGACAGAAGCCAGGACAGTTTCATTGTCTACTTCCGCCATCCCTCGCTACGACATTGCCGTTACGCCAGCTACAGAAATAAAAACAAGACGACTGGACAACGAACTGCCGGACGACCTGCACTGTACAGTGCAGCTTGCAGTGCGAAGCACTTTTTGACGCAACTTTCCAAAAAAGTTTCGAGACCTACAGCAGCACTAGCTAGTTGCACTGGCTGCAGTGCAGCACTGCCGGAAGTTACTACATTTGTAGCAAGAGTACATGAACCCCAGCGGTTTATGTACTGTGTAGATCTACTCTTGATTGTGGTAGTTTGGCCTGGCGCGCGTGTGCTAGAACCCAGTTTTCAGCTGTACAGTAACGTCGGACCGCGCGTTTCTAGCGTGCGCGGGCGCTGGTGCTTTCTTGTTTTTTTTCCGGTCGGAGGCAAAAAGGTACGCGGGCGCGGACGTTAAACAACGAAAAAAGAAAGGGTGGCCTTAAGGTTGCTAGCAAAGCTTTGATGTGGCATACTCGTTTGTGCACTACCGGTATGTACATGTGGATGTACTATGGACACTCACGATTACGAGCACTCGAGTGAGTAGACAGACATATCTGCCCTGAGCAGGGAGCTATCACAGAGTGCAGTACTGATTGAGTGGGAGCATTGGTGGGTGCTGGAGAGATGTGTCCTTGGTGTGGAGGTGTTATCAGTTGCGAGTGCATTACTGATTGCGTGAGAACAGTGGCGGTCACTGGTCAGTGGAGAGATGTGTCCTCGGTGTGGATGTGTTGTCAGTTGAGAGGTACTGTCCCTCTAGGTGAGGTACTGCCCCTTTAAGTGAAGTACTGCCCCTCTAGGTGAGGTACTGTCCTTCTAGGTGAGGTACTGTCCCTCTAGGTGAGGTACTGCCCCTCTAGGTGAGGTACTGGCCCTCTAGGTGAGGTACTGCCCCTCTAGGTGAGGTACTGCCCCTCTAGGTGAGGTACTGGCCCTCTAGGTGAGGTACTGCCCCTCTAGGTGAGGTACTGCCCCTCTAGGTGAGGTACTGCCACTCTAGGTGAGGTACTGCCACTCTAGGTGAGGTACTGCCCCTCTAGGTGAGGTACTGCCACTCCAGATGAGGTACTGCCCCTCTAGGTGAGATTCTACTGTACATGTACTTCATGATTTCTACTGATGTGATGGCACTATATCCTGTGTACGGCGCGTGCCATATTTCCCCCAGTATAAGTCGCACCTTTTCACACTAAACTTCGAGGGAAAGGAGGGGGTGCGGCTTACAATCGAGTGACACCCTGCCTACGTGACTATATTGAAACAACATGGCTCCAACCTTAAATGGGATGCGACTTATAGTCGAGTGTGACTTATGATCGAGAAAATACAGTAATCTTCTATTATGCACATTTGAAAGAAGGAATCGAAAGCGTTTCTGCTGTAACTCTGAGTTTCACGGTTTAACCGATCATCAGACAACAACTGCGCCTTGGTGTATTGAGCACTGTCACGAGTAACCGCAACTCTCTCCGAGTGTAATCTTCTATTATATCCTGTCTCCGTTTGGCGCTCCTCTCTCTCTCTCTCTCTCTCTCTCTCTCTCTCTCTCTCTCTCTCTCTCTCTCTCTCTCTCTCTCTCTCTCTCTCTCTCTCTTTCTCTCTCTCCCGTGCACCCAGGTGGCCGAGGGTCTGGAATTCCTGCACCGCAAGCGTATCCTGTACCGCGACCTGAAGTCGGACAACGTGCTCATCTTCTCCACCAATGCCACGGCCACGATCAACGCCAAGATCTCCGACTACGGCATCTCTCGGTTTGCGTGTCCGGCCGGCCTGGCTGCCACTACTGGTACTGCCGGCTACAGGCCGCCGGAGATGATACGCGCACGCGGAAAGACGGCCTACGACTTTTCGGTAAGGCAGCTTGATGCTGTTGACTTTGATTGGCATGTTTGTGTACCCAGTCTTGTATAAAAAGAGGACTTGTATCGAAGCATAGCAGTGCGACTTGAATGAAAGCCTGTCTTGAGTATATGAGAGGGCTTGAAAGCCCAGAGCCCTTGCTCTGCTTCGTTTCGACCTCGGTCATCATGCGTGTTATTCAAACTGATAGAAAAGCCTTTGCAATGCAAAAACATGTCTCCGATGTTCCAGTTCTCTAGTGCTCCAGTTTTCCTTGGGCTGTGTAGTGTCCCCGGCATTGGCATACTGAGGAGGTCATATGTCACGTTGTATGAATGTACCGTGTACATACTTACCTAATACACTTGCACTTGTCAGTTTGAGCACTCTGGCAAGGTACGTTCGGGCCTGGTTTAAATATGGCTTTGGAAAATTTAAACAAACGGCGAGGAGACGATAATTTGATAACCGCAATGACTAAGACAAGCTGAATTGTCAGCTTGTCTTATTGATTGCGGTTTGGAAAATTTATTTTTCATTGCTATCAGGTTCGGCCTCATTCTCTCTGTGCTGCACTGATGAATCCCACAAAGGACGAAACAGTTCTGTCCGCAGATTGAGTCCTTACCTACTACATGTACCGCATTATTTATAGGTCTGCATTTTCTTTGAGACATTTTCAAAGAACAAGTTCAGCTCTCGTGCCGGTTTGCTCGTCTTCACTTCAATTCCGTTTGATGCCTGTTGTGTTTATGTTCAGGCTGACATCTACTCATTTGGTCTGTTCCTCTTCGAACTGGCCACCAATGGACAACGACCATTCGAGGAGCTCGACTTTCCCGTGGAGCTGGACAATCGGTATCTTGAGGAGGCTCCCATACCGCAGCTAACCGAGTGTGGTTGTAGTGCCTGGCCTGACATGCAAGATTCCATTGCTCAGGTAATGTGTGTGTGTGTTTGGGGGGGGGGGGGGGCACACATGTGCAAATAGCTTTTCTTGATTGTACTTCTAGTGAGTTTCAATGCATGTTCGTTACGGCATGATTGTATAGAGCAGGCATAGTGCATGCATAGTGCAGGCATAGAGCATGCATAGTGCATGCATAGTACAGGCATAGTGCAGGCATAGTGCAGGCATAGTGCATGCATAGTGCATGCACTATGCATGCAGTGCATGCATAGTGCATAGGAGTACTAAGTATCTGTGGTGTGAAGCAAAGGTTTGGATGAGGTGATGGAGAGACAGCAGGACTCTGCATCACCTACTTATAGCACAGATATGTACTCTTTTTCTATTACTTTTGTGGCAACATACCGGTACATCCATGCAGACTGAGCAATGTGTTCCCTGCGTATGCTGTGCTAACATTAAATTTTATCATGCTGCTGCTGCTGCTGTTTTGCTGCTGCTGCTGTTGCTGCTGCTGTTGTTGTTCGTGGTTATGATGGTGGTGGTGGTGGTGCTGCTGCTGCTCCTGCTGTTGGTCACCCGGTGGTGTTTAGTGTCTGCAACTACGTCCCGACCAACGGCCAACCGCGTCAAATCTCGTCCAGCGCTTCAGCTCATCCGAGTCGCTGTGCCTGCGACAGGCGATACCCGTGTCGATGGGCCTCTCTGTGCAGGCGTTGGCTGTACGGAACTATCGCGATAACAAGGGCAATGAACGCTGTCAGGTATGGTGATTATATTATTTCTATTGCACAAACTTCTTGTTCTTTGAAAACCTTTGCATTGTAGAATCTACCGGGGTGAGGAGAAACGGTGAAGAGATGTCCTGTCGAATGATGTACATCCAAACTATGTCATAGTATTGAAAGTAGCTATGCTGCAACCAACAAGATTCAGTTTTGTTTGGGCCGGATGGATAAAACGAGAGAGCTTGGAAGCTCAGGGCCCTACGCTATGCTTTTTTGCCTTGATGACCTAGGCAAAAAAAAAGCATAGGGATGTCAGCCCTATTTGAATATTGTGGCGAGCTGTTTGTGGCCAGCCGTCTTTGATGGTACGGTACGGTACGGGACAGGTACGGTCGAGGGTAATACGACAACGTCTACCACCTTGATGACCTAGGCAAAAAAGCATAGGGATGTTATAAATTTTTCAATTCTAACAAGTTTTCGTACAACACTCATGAGGAATCTTCGTTGTACTAAAGGACACTGAAAACAAAATTGAACTATTATAGAAAATCTAAGTTAGAAAAATAACACTAAGAACAACAGCAGTGAAATTTACAAGCTTGGCCGTTAATGTTCTAGGTGTAATGTTATTATTATTATTATTATTATGCTCTATTCGCGTTAGCATCAGTGAGCTTATAAAGCTCACATATAGCCTTCGCTTAAGCCGCAAGAAGGAGCAAGTGAGCGCGAGGAAGCGCAATGCACACAGAGCGTCAAAACAAAACAAAAAACAAAAAAACAGAAAAAAGAGACAAGCTGCAAGAAGGAGCAAGTGAATGCGAGGAAGCACAGTGCACATCAAGCATCACAATCACAAAAAAAGACAAGATGGAAACGCAAAGTTATGTCCATTGTTGCATTAGCGGCTACATACAACCTTCACCAGGTCCTGCCACTGAGGGCGATCCTGGGCGAGCTGCTGCAGCCTGTTGCAGTCATCTCCATTATCTATATATAAAGGTATAAATTATGTCCATTGTTTCATTAGCAGCTACATACAGCCTTCACCAGTTCCCGCCACTGTCGACGGTCTTGGGCAAGCTGCTGCAGCATGTTCAAGTCATCGCCAGTCTCTAGGGCGGTATTATTTTTCAGCTTTTTGAGATCATTATTGAGCGTTCGCGGGAGCGTTGTTCTTGGGCGTCCCCTAAAGCTGGGGCCGTTACCCCCTAAGAAGTAAGCTCCCATGGCACGTCTGGCTGGGGCTGCCTCTTCCAAACGCAGCACATGACCAAACAGCCTCCATCTAGCATCTCTGATGATTTGGCTCACGGGGCGAGATTCTGTGCGTTTATACAGGGAAGTGTTCTTTATTATGAGCGGGTATTTAATGCCTATCACTGTTCGCAGCTGCTGCCTGTGGAACGAGTCCAATTTCCGCTCCTGTGTCCCCGTGAGACTCCACGTGCCACAGTTATAAAGCAGGATTGGTAGAATGAAGCTATTATAGAGGCGCACTCGTAGAGACTCTCTGATGTGTTGCCCTCTCAGCCATATCACCCACATCCGATGAAGTGCGCTTGTAGCCAACCGCTTTCGTCTGCCTATGTCCTCATCCACTCCAAGCATCGAGCCCAGCTTTATTGTGTGTCGCCACTGTTCCTCTATTCGATCCTTTTGTCTGCTTATCATGGTGTGTTCCGTCTTCCCCTCATTCATCTTCAAGTTCCACTCTGCTAACGAAGAGGATATTGTAGGAAGGCAATCTTTTAGATACTTTTGGTCGGTACTGATGAAGTCCACATCATCTGCATATTCCGACTCTCCGGGCAGAAGCAGCTGGACGTCTCGGTCTGGGCGCGGCGGTAGACGGTTTCGTACCTCTCTTAACGCAGCTTCCAGGTATATCGTAAACAATACCGGCGACAGAGAATCTCCCTGTGGAGTCCCATTGTATGTTTCAAGTGGCTGGCTCAGGATGTTGTTTAGCCGTACTTTAATGGTGGTATCCGTAAGTAAGCACTGAATAAGATGTAATTCGTCCCGGTTCACAATAGTCTCCAGCACGTTCATGAGCTTTGGTCTTGAAATAGTGTCAAAGGCTTTCGACATATCAATTCCCAAAATGGCGATATCTTCCTTTACTCTTTGGCATCTTGCTGCCAACCATCTGTAGGAGTACACAGCATCCGCTGTACTTCTCCCGCTGCGAAATCCGCTCTGGCAGGGCGAGACGTATTGATCAACTGCCGGCTTAATACGCGTCAATACGATTAGAGACAGTAGCTTGCGTAGTGTATTTAGAAGGGTAACTGGCCGCAAATTTGCAGGAGGACCTCTCTTCTTGCCCGGTTTCGGCAACGGGACCAATATACCATCACCAAGCTGGATGCGTTGATCTTTAGCGTAATTATTGAATAATGTGGCTATGTTACCATGCAGTGATTGCGTCCCATACTTCAGGAGCTCAGCCGGGATTCCATCGGGGCCGGATGCTCTGCCGTTATTTAAACGTTTTGCAGCCTTGGACACCTCCTCAGTCGTTATGGATCGGTTCAGTGGCATTTCACTCCTCTCCAACATAGTTGTTGCTAGTGCCTGGTCGCAGAATATAGTTCTGAAGTGTTCCTTGACCGCTTCCACCGATTCCGCAGGTTGAGATATAATTTTGCCTTCAGCATCCTCAACGATAACCGGTGATTGTTTCTGACGACGGAGTAGCTGGGTTGCTTTGAACATCTTTGCGTCATTCTTTATTCTTCCTATTTCTCCCACTCGTTCATCAAGCCTGCTCGATGCCATCTTGAGGCATTCCCGCCGAATCTGGTGTGAAATGCGATTGCGTTCTTGCTTCATCTCAGAAATCTTCCCAGCGTCTTTGCAGTTAGTGAGATCCAAACGTAACTTGCGTTTTTTCTCGGCTAGCTGTTCAATGGCATTATTATAGCCATTTGTATGTACTTTTCTTCTTTTTGGTACTATGCCAATGGATGATGCAGCTGACTCCTTCATAATGCCGGTGATCTTCCGGGCATGCTCCTCAACACCCATGTTGTCCATCTCACGGCATGTCAATTCCAGACCCCGCTCGATTGCCGCTTGGTATGCCTCCCTCTTGCTCAAGTCACTGAATTCAGATACACTGAATTTGTCATTGGTCTCCCTTGATATGCATGGCGCATTCAATTTCTTGTAAAGATTGGTCAGGTTGACTTTAGCGAGGACAAGGCGGTGGTCACTCTCCATCTTTGTCCCCGCATATGACCTCGCATCTTCCACCACAGAACGCTCACTATTCCGACAGAATATATAATCGATCTGGTTGTATATGGGTATTGCTGAACCACCGTCTGGGTTGTGACGCCATCCTGTCCATGTTGTGATATGTGCCGCACGGTGTTGGAATGCAGTGTTGCAAGCAAACAGGTGGTTGTCCGACGCAAAGTCAGTCAGAACCTGTCCACTGTAATTGCGGCGGCCTCTTGAGTGTGCTCCGCAGCACGACAAATCATGTCTCCCCGTAGCTGTAACGAAACGTTTTCCAACTTTTGCATTGAAATCACCTATCACGAAAAGCATGGCTGATGATCGAAGCTTCTGAATTGTCTCCAATAAACTGTTGTAGAATTCATCCAGACAGGCAGGATCCTCCGCAACGCGTCCAGATGTTGGTGCATAAACGTTGATAAACGAGCACAGAGTTCTATCGGACAGCCATAGCTGCAGCACAGCGATCCGGTCAGAGATACTCCAGTATCTGTGAATTCGGGGCAGTAAACTTATTTTTACGGCGAATCCAAGTCCATAGTGTCGAGAGGTCGACGAAAGACACAGGAGTCGATAATTATCAATAATTCCATCGAAGCCCTGAGAGATTTTCGTCTCTTGCAGGCAGCAGAGTTCAGCTCCATATCTTGTTAGGTCACAAATAAGTTGATTTTTTTTCAAATTTGAATTTAGTCCACGAACATTGAAAGTTCCGACGTGAAACAAGCTACTCTTGTTTCTACGACTGCTACTCAGAATACTGCGGGTCCTCAAACCCACCTGCTCATTAGCGAAAGACATAGGCCATAGGGTTCAAGAACAGAACCACCATGGCTGAGAGGCGTCACTCTCTCATCCAAACAAACAAACAAACGAAGGTGTAATGTACTGCTGTTATTTGTTATCACTTTGTCCTTCTTTCCCTCAAAACCAGTTAATACTTTGTCCTTCCTTCTTTCTTTCTCTTCTTTGTTCACTTTTCAGTTGCAAGTTTAGTGTTAGTACACACATTCGTTATTCTCTCGCTTTCATTGTTAAAATTCACACTATTTTTCTAACTTAGATTTTCTATAATAGTTCAATTTTGTTTTCAGTGTCCTTTAGTACAACGAAGATTCCTGATGAGTGTTGTACGAAAACTTGTTTGAATCCCTTTCTTTCTCTACACAATTTCTTCACATTTTTCAATTCTCCTATTATTTTTTTCAAGGCATAACCTAGGATTCGAACCCGCACAATCGCCCTACATGCATTACCCGATACACTTCGCATTCATACTCATTCTTCCAAGTTGCTTCACGTTATGATCTTGCATTTGAAAGCCCAATTTGAATATTGTGGCCAGCTGTTTGTGGCCAGCTGTCTTTGGTACGGTACGGTACGGGACAGATATGGGATAGCGCCAGGCGTGACACACACAAACAAACAAATAAATAAACACCAAAACGAGAGAGCTTGGAAGCTCAGGGCCCTACGCTATGCTTTTTTGCCTTGATGACCTAGGCAAAAAAACATAGCAAATCTTTCATTTAGGCCATGGTAAAAAATAAAGTTGATTCTCAGGTCATGAGCCCGTGAAAATCGGTGCGAGCGAGCGATTTTTTATTTTATTCCCCACAATGTTTTTATTTCCGAAGATAGAGTCACACATATGTACGTCACAGGTTCATATAATTATTTTTTTTATTCAGGCCAGGGAGTAGAAAAATACCGATATTTTACTACTCCCTGATTCATGCCTTTCGAATCGCATTGACTGTTTTCATGCGCGCATATGCATGCACAGAAATATAAAAAATCGTCGGTGCGCCGCCAAAAATCGGTGCGCGCGTACTTGAGAATCAAAGATAATTTTTACCATGGCCTTATCCTATTTTTTTTTCAAGACATAACCTGGGATTCAAACCCGCACTATCGCCCTGCATGCATCCCCCGATACACTTCGCATACCGGTACATACTAATTCTTCCAAGTTGCTTCACGTTATGATCTTGCATTTGAAAGCCCTATTTGAATATTGTGGCCAGCTGTTTGTGGCCAGCCGTCTTTGATGGTACGGTACGGTACAGGACAGGTATGGTCGAGGGTAATACGACACCGTCTACCACCTTGATGACCTAGGCAAAAAAACTTAGCATAGGGATGCAGTGATCTAGCCAAAGCCGGCCGGCTGAGACAGCTCCAAGGGTAATGCTGCAGTCACCCCCATGTAGACTGTAGTGCACTGCACTAGCACTTGAGTCTAGATGGTGGAGAGGCAAAGGTATGTACAGTACAGTACGTAGCACTGGCTACTCAGGCTCAGTGCTAGCTCTTCACTCAAGCTCAAATGCACTTGAGTATGCACTTGAGTACGTCAGTAAAATGTAATAGGTTGGGTCATGGTTCGCTGTTTCTGGTGGTGTACATGGCTGTGGCTAGGCTGGGTCTTGTCAGATGACCAATGTACACTGCATGCAGACATGACGTTGGTGACCACATGATCCATGCTCATGTAGCTGTTTGCTTCCTTTTTCATATTTTGTTAATTTACCTATAATCACATTGTCACAACTGCCTGATGAATGCCCATAATTGGACGAAGCGAAAGGAGATGCAAGCTGCAATGAAAGATTTGTAGTGGTGTGTGTCTGTGTGGATCCGTGACTGATGGCGGGGGTCTGGGGGCTGCGCCCCCAGAACGATACATTTTAACTAGAACGTTGGCCGACTGGCATAAAATCCTGGCTAGACCTCTGGGGATGTTATAAAATTTTCAATTCTCCTATTTTTTCAAGGCATAACCTGGGATTCGAACCCGCACAATCGCCCTACATGCATTACCCGATACACTTCGCATTCATACTCATTCTTCCAAGTTGCTTCACGTTATGATCTTGCATTTGAAAGCCCTAATTGAATATTGTGGCCAGCTGTTTGTGGCCAGCTGTTTGTGGCCAGCTGTTTGTGGCCAGCTGTCTTTGATGGTACGGTACGGTACGGGACAGATACAGGATAGCGCCAGGCGGAGGTCCGTCCGCAAAAAAACAAACAAATAAATAAACACCAAATTAAAGCTGTGTGGACCCTGGCTAGCGCCAGACGTTACTGAAGTAACGCCTTCTGCATAGCTACGGGAATAAAGCTGTGTGGACCCTGGCTAGCGCCAGACGTTACTGAAGTAACGTCTTCTGCATAGCTACGGGAATAATGCTGCCATGTTGTGTTGTATGTGTGCATGCGTGTGTGTGTGCGTGCGTGCATGCATGTGTATCTGTGTGTATGTGTGTATGCATGTATATCTCACTATCTGTGTGTGTATGTATACAGGTGTGGATTGGCAGCGGTAGCACGGCGGGCCAAGGCAGTCAGCTGAGTATCTACGATCTGAGTGAGCGACCCTCACCGCCGTCCGGCATGGCGCTCTCCGACCGCCTCGTCCTCTGCATGATCTCCGTCTCCCTCAACAGCAAACCTCTGCTCGTGCTGGTAGGCTGCCTGTCCGGCAACATCTGGTGTTACGATGCGGACAAGGGCCGGCAGCAGCGCCCCACCTGCATTGCGTGCATGAAGGATGCTATTGTGTGCATGCTACACTACGACGATAGCCAGGAGGTCAACGTCATCGTGGCCGGCCTGGCTAACGGCACGCTGGCGATACTGGAGGTTGGCCAGCTGCTGGATGCCAGCAGCGGCAACAGCGCACAGTTCCAGGTGATCCAGCTCGGCGCCGAGCCCGTCATGGACGTGTGCATGTACAAGCGGCAGCTGTGGTGCGCCTGTGGGCCACGCGTTCTCGTACTGGACATGCAGAAACGCCAGACAGTCTTCAGCTGGGCAGTGACCGGGTACGTGTCTCTCTATATGTACAGAACAACCTGTAACTAACGACCACCCCTCGGGGCCAGAGAAAGTGGTCTTTAGTGGCAGGTGGTCCTTAGTTAGAGGTTTGCACCGCACAATCGTATAATATGAATGTGAGACCATCCGTGCCTGGCGAAGTGGTCTGTAGTACCAGGCTGGTCGCTAGTCACGGTGGTCTGTAGTACCAGGCTGGTCGCTAGTCACGGTGGTCTGTAGTACCAGGCTGGTCGCTAGTCACGGTGGTCTGTAGTACCAGGCTGGTCGCTAGTCACGGTGGTCTGTAGTACCAGGCTGGTCGCTAGTCACGGTGGTCTGTAGTACCAGGCTGGTCGCTAGTCACGGTGGTCTGTAGTACCAGGCTGGTCGCTAGTCACGGTGGTCTGTAGTACCAGGCTGGTCGCTAGTCACGGTGGTCTGTAGTACCAGGCTGGTCGCTAGTCACGGTGGTCTGTAGTAGCAGGCTGGTCACCATGGTCACGGTGGTCTGTAGTACCAGGCTGGTCGCTAGTCACGGTGGTCTGTAGTACCAGGCTGGTCACCATGGTTACGGTGGTCTTTAGTTGCAGGTTTTACTGTACTTATACAGTAAAACCTGTCTGAGACGACCGCTCAAGGGACCTTCAAAACGTGGTCTCTGTTCACAGGTGGTCTCCGTATCCAGGGTCATTTGACTAATCGACCTAGACCTTTCAAGTAGTAGTAAACTAACTTGCCTACCGAAAACGGAAGGAAATGGGCTGCCGAGTGAGCATTGGCAGCATGAAATCCAAGCTGGCAGATAGGCGACAATATTGCTGACGCGGACCAAGTATCACTGGTTATGCATGTATGGGTTTATCTTGGCCGTACGGTGTACAATCGTGTTGCTCTTGTTCTTGCCATGGCGGTGATGTAGGTGGCAGTCATCATCCTTCTCAAGCTCGTTGTCATGGCTGTTGTCTTTCCTGACTGTCGCAGAAGCAGAAATATTGGTCGAGAATTTTATTCCGTCCTTTTCGTCCAACAGTTAACAGTTTTCAGGCTAAATTAATCTCAGGACTAAAAGTCGATTTTTCTAGCCTTTTAGTACGTCCCAGTATCCATGAGCGAAATTTTCAACCGGACAAACCGCCTTTCCTTGGAGTTGGACGTAGTTATTCACTGACTAAATTGTCTGTTTGTTGTATTGTTTAGGGAGAAGAGCAAGATCTCGAACCTCGCCATTGCGAACGACCTTGTCTGGACATCAGTGAAGGGCAGCGCTGTCATACGCGTCTGGTCTGCCTCGGATCCTATCGGCCGAGAGCGAGGAGAGATGGATTGCCTTGACTTTATCTGTGCACGTGAGCCGCTGGAAGAAGAGAAGCGTATCAAGGCCACCGACTGGCATGTTGTCAGTCTTGCATTAGATGGTGGCTCTCTGTGGGTTGGTATGAGCAGTGGCCACATTCTTGTTGTCGACGTCGCCAAGCGTAAGGCTCAGAGTGTGGTACAGCGGCATGACAGAGCTGTAAGGTAAGCAGCACGTGTGTGCATGTGTGTGTGCATGTGTGTGTGTGTGGGGGGGGGGGGGGGTACGTGTGTGTGTGTGTGTGTACATGTGTTTGATTGATTTGATTGATTTTTATTTCACGGATCCTCCAGAGGCAAATAGATGCCTATCGAAGGGAGTCTCCTAAGTAAGTATGGAAAATGAGAAAGTATGTTCGTAAGGGAGAAGAGGTAGAAGATACATTAGAATATAGAGTACAGAAGAAGTAAATTCAGTACTTCGGGTAGTACATTGCATGCTAATCATAATGAGAATTAGAAAAGCAGCATTGCGGACTACTATAACTGACATATACACAAACTATTGAAACTATCATAGATGTGGTTAGCCTAGACACAAAAGTCAGGAATACCTTTCAAAGAAAACATTGATTGCGAATGATACCGACGAACAGCAATACTAAATTTCGCTGTTGTAGAGAGTGAACGAATATCTTCAGGAAGTTTATTCCAGGCAACACTCAAAGAAAAAAGGGTTGATTTACGAAAGAAGGTGCCAGCTTTAGGAAGAATTATGGATGAAGGGTGACGACTGCTTTGGGAAGAGGGTAGCTGGAAGTGAGACAACAAGGAGGGGTATTGGGAGAATACATGGTGGAAATAGACAAGGCCAAGAATCTGCCGTCGCCATGCTAACGATTCCCAAGAGGACAGAACATTGAGGTCTTCTTTGGAAGTCGTCCAGTCATGTGTGCACGTGTGTGTGTGTGTGCACGTGTGTGTGTGTGGGGGGGGGGGTGCGCGTACATGCGTGTGTGTGGTGTGTGTGTGTGTGTGCATGTGTGCATGTGTGCATGTGTGCTTGCATGCTTGCGCACTTGTGTGTGTGTGTGCGTGTGCGTCTGCATGTGTGGATCCGTGCGTGCAATTGGCTTGTGTGTGCATGGGTGCGTATGCATACGACATACGCATGCCTATGTGTGTGAGTGTGAAAGTCTGTGACTGTCGCATGACTTGAACAGCTGGCTGTGCCACTCCATATCGTACTTACTGTTAAACGTTCGATAGTGTAGACTTACACACATAGAGACACACCCATATCTTACCCATACCCATCTTACCCATACCCATCTTACCCATACCCATACATACACCTGAGAACTATATGCATGGCATACTTGATATACTTTTAAAAGCCAATAACCGATCTTCATTTACACTTACTTGTCATTGCGGCCAGCCAGGAGAAATGATTTCCATCGGACTTGGTGATGAAGTAATCTTGACCGCTCAATGATCTGTGACCAATAACTCGTGGCTTGGTGATGGAGTTACGTGACGACTCGATGTTCTGTGGCCATTATGTTAACTCTCTCTCTCTCTCTCTCTCTCTTTCTATCCAGGTGTCTTGCGCAAGTGAAGCTCCGCTCTGGCGACAAGTCACTGTCGTATGTTCTATCCGGTGCAATGGGATACCTTCCGCGGCCGGGAATGAAGGAAGCTGCTTTCCGCCGAGAGGGTGAGTTCACAGCAGTGCTTGTTAGTTGAGCCAGCCGGCATGATGAGTGAACGGGTTAAGAGTGTCCTGACTAGATTGGTTTGTTCTTGCTCTTCTTCGTGGTTGTGTTTTTGAAAACTGTTGTTGTTGTTGCTGCTGCCTTCACTGCTGGTGGTACAGTAGTCTTGTTTCTTATAATCCGGCACCATTTGTGCTACGGAAATTCTGCTGGATTGGGGAGGGTGTGAGATTGGAAAAGCTGATTTACTGCTGCAATGTGCATGAAAAGGACATTTTGGTACCTGAAAACTATGCTGGTTTATGGAGGGTGGAGGGTGCTGGTGCCTTAGATCATTGCAGGGTGGTGGCGTTCCTACGGATGCTGAAAACTCAGTATAACTAAGTCTCAAGCGAACCGTGAAACAGTGGTTTATGGAGAGTGCTGGATTAATGACTCGGAGACGACTGTATTGGCATTGCTGCGTCCTCTGTGCTCGGTGCAGGCGTGTCCTTCCAATCCTCCGACTCCACGTACGGCCATCTTCTCGTGTGGGACGCGAGTCTCGGGAAGATGCAGATTCGCATGAGCGCTGACCATGCCAAGCGGCACTCCATCATACCAACGAGACGAGCTGGAGCTGGGGCAGGAGGCAACGGCCAGGTGCACACGCCGTTGACGCCGAAATCACCGTCGGTGCCCGAGCGACGCAAGTCGTCATTATTCCGTAGCTTATCCGCATATAGCCCCCGCTCGCTTATGTCCATAGCGAGCAATCCGTCAACGCCAAAGCCGGCGAAGCGCACGTCCACACAAAACGTACCGCTCACACCGTCTTTTCTCGCTCTGGACAGCGAAGCATCGGATGGATCGTTTGATGCACGCGATTCCCCCGCCTCTCCCAGCGGCGGCCTGCTTTTCCAGTAAGGTGCCGCCTGTAGATGTGCTTCTGTTCTGTTGTGGCATGTACACATGCACACATGCATTTTTAATAGAAAATATATGGTATGTCAGTCTTTCTACCTCTCTACCCCTCTCTCTCTCTCTCTCTCTCTCTCTCTCTCTCTCTCTCTCTCTCTCTCTCTCTCTCTCTCTCTCTCTCTCCATCCTTCTAACTCTACCCCCGCTCTCACACACTCGCTTCATCTCCTTCCCGCTCTTCCCTGCCACCTCACGTTTTCTTGGGCTGGCTCTGATCTCCTCTTGTTTCCTGATCAGTAGTACTGTACAGTCGTGTAGCACACAGGCATGCTGTATTGCCGTGATGCCCTCTCCAAGCAGGCATGCTGTATTGCCGTGATGCCCTCTCCAAGCAGGCATGCTGTATTGCCGTGATGCCCTCTCCAAGCAGGCATGCTGTATTGCCGTGATGCCCTCTCCAAGCAGGCATGCTGTATTGCCGTGATGCCCTCTCCAAGCAGGCATGCTGTATTGCCGTGATGCCCTCTCCAAGCAGGCATGCTGTATTGCTGTGATGCCCTCTCCAAGCAGGCATGCTGTATTGTCGTGATGCCCTCTCCAAGCAGGCATGGCTTAGAACTTGTAGTCATGCTCTGCCACCACTGTGAAGTTTCAGTAGCGTGTATCCATAAAGCCGATTGTTTGCTGTCGCTTTGTTTTCGTTGGCCGCTTGCTTTTATCGCCGGGCCAGGCATGCTGTTTACTGCTGCAAGTGGGTGTTGTTGTTTTGTTTTTTTCATGCCAGATTGTCGTTCTTGTTGTGTCCTAGCCACGCCAGCTGGTCTGGTGGAGTCTTTTCAATTCAAGCGCTTCTAATCAAAATGGAACCGATTGTTTTACTTGCGTACCTGCACCCTGCTAGCTCATTAACCAAAGTCCTGCACATGTGCATGCAGCTAGCTTTAAATAAAGTTCATATACATAACTATATCATGATGCCTTTACTCCACTTGTCTCTTCCTCGCACATATTCCTAGCAGTATACCAAGACAGCATGCAATCAAGCATAGAGGCCGCTGCGCCGGTCATGCTACTTATATTAATTTTCGTTATTGTTTTTTTTCTTTTACTTTGCGACCAGTTATACTTGAGCTTCTGTTTTGTGCCTCGTCACCGCCGTCGTTGGTGCATGCTATATCTACTGACATGTTGCCTGGTCCGGTTCCTCCGTGTGTTATAAGTCTTTTGATCTTTGGACACCCGTATCATAGCCGAAGTTACGCCTCAAGTGGCCTTTTTTTAATAAGTTCTTAACTTTTAAAATTTGTCTCTCTACTTTTTTTTGAAAATATATTCTTATTTGAAACTTTCATGCCCAGGCATACTCCTCTCTTTCTTTCTTTCTCAGTTTCTTGTCTTCAACTTGCACAGCATTTTAAATTTATTCCAAATATATAATAAACAATCCCCGCAAGCGTATGTTGTTTCTACTCACCTCGTATGTTGTACTCTTACAGTTTGACAATGCAACGTCTAAGATATGAACAGTGGCTGTGTGTGTGTGCGTGCGTGCGTGTGTGGACTGCTTCTGGCTAGATTACCTCTTGTGTAATCACTGGTGCTAGTGAAGCTTATATCAGATCCACTCTGATTTAGCCACCCACACCAGTACCAAGTATTACCCTCACTGGAGGCAGGGGTAACTGCAGTTGGATCCCAGGACGGATACCCTGATGTCGTCAATCCTTTTTCTGCACCTTGTCCTCACCCACTTACTGAGGGCCGGTGTGGTGAGCCCGTAAGTGGGATCATTTGCAAGTCCACCCATAGTTTGGGGATTTCAGAGGGTGTCGGCCGTTGGGAGGTTCAATAGCCAGTTGAGTCCTCTTTCCAAGATTCCTTTTGAGTTCCTCTCTCCCCTCTCCCGGAGAGACCCACGTGACCACTTTTGGCAGTGAGCAAGTACAGTACAGTGTGTGCACTGGGTGTGTGTGCGTGTGTGTGTGTGTGTGTGTGTGTGTGTGTGTGTGTGTGTGTGTGTGTGTGTGTGTGTGTGTACTGGGTGTGTGTGTGTGTGTGCACTGGGTGTGTGTGTGTGTGTGCACTGGGTGTGTGTGTGTGTGCACGTTGTGCCAGCTAGTCCGGTTGGTGGGTACACTTATGCCGGATAGTGTTGGTTCTGTTGCCAACGGGCTCGGCTGCTTGAAGGTGTATAATGTTGTACCTACCACCTTTGTTGGTTTCGGGTTACTTTCTATTTGAAGTATACATACCTGTTAACCATGGACTACTTCTGGCTTTAACTCTTGTGTAATCATGGTGCTAGTGAAGCTTGTATCAGATCCACTCTGATTTAGCCACCCACACTAGTAGCAAGTATTACCGTCACTGGGGGCAGGGGTAACTGCAGTTGGATCCCGGGACGGATACCCTGATGCCGTCAATTCTTTTTCTGCACCTTGTCCTCACGCACTTACTGAGGTGTGGTGAGTTCATAAGTGGGATCATTTTCAAGTCCACCCAGAGTTTTGGGGATTTCAGGGGGTGTCGGCTGTTGGGCGGTTCAATAGCCAATTGAGTCATCTTTCCAAGATTCCTTTTGAGTCTCTCTCCCCTCTGCCGGGGAGACCCACGTGACCAGTTTTGGCAGTGAGCAACACGTACAAGTACAAGTGTGCACGTGTGTGTGCACGTCTTTCTTCTCTTTCTCAGACTCCTCCTGACTTTTCTTTCATTCTCCTGGGTGGTTACCAACAGCCAGTGCATTTTGGAGTATGTGGTGTGGGTGGGTGGGTAGGTACTCTGATTTAGCCACTCACACTAGTAGCAAGTATTACCTTCACTGGGGGCAGGGGTAACTGCAGTTGGATCCCAGGACGGATACCCTGATGCCGTCAATCCTTTTTCTGCACCTTGTCCTCACCTACTTACTGAGGTGTGATGAGCCCATAAGTGGGATCATTTTCAAGTCCACCCAGAGTTTTGGGGATTTCAGGGGGTGTCGGCCGTTGGGCTGTTCATTAGCCAATTGAGTCATCCTTCCAAGATTCCTTTTGAGTCTCTCTCCCCTCTGCCGGGGAGACCCACGTGACCAGTTTTGGCAGTAAGCAACAAGTACAAGTACAAGTGTGTGTGTGTGTGTGTGTGTGTGTGTGTGTGTGTGTGTGTGTGTGTGCGTGTGTGTGTGTGTGTGTGTGTGTGTGGGTGTGGGTGTAATCCCAGCACAACTTGCTATTTCTAACATAGCTGTTCGCTATCATCGCTTCCGCGATGGGCATGTCTGAGGTCTGAGATGTGTGTGTGTGTGTGTGTGTGTGTGTGTGTGTGTGTGTGTGTGTGTGTGTGTGTCAGACTCTTCCTGACTTTTCTTTCATTCTCCTGGGTGGTTACCAACAGCCAGTGTATGCCGGAGTATGTGGTGTGGTGTGTGTGTAGAAAAAGAAAAAAAAGAAAAAAAGAAAAAAATGGAAAAATGAAAAATAGGGATTCGCTGGCCAGAAAAAGTCACTTCAAACAGCTGTGTGGTGGATACCAGGCTAAAAATAGTGGCGGTCAATTCATCAGCCTTGCAAGCTGTTGAATGGTGTAATCCCAGCACAAGTTGCTATGTCTAAAACATAGCTGTTCGCTATCATCGCTCCCGCGATGGGCATGTCTGAGGTCTGAGGTGTGTGTGTGCGTGTGTGTGTGTGTGTGTGTGTGTGTGTGTGTGTGTGTGTGTGTGTGTGTGAGAGAGAGAGAGAGAGAGAGAGAGAGAGAGAGAGAGAGAGAGAGAGAGAGAGAGAGAGAGAGAGAGAGAGAGAGAGAGAGAGAGAGAGAGAGAGAGAGAGAGAGAGAGAGAGAGAGAGAGAAGAGAGAGAGAGAGAGAGAGAGAGAGAGAGAGAGAGAGAGAGAGAGAGAGAGAGAGAGAGAGAGAGAGAGAGAGAGAGAGAGAGAGAGGGAGAGGGAGAGGGAGAGGGAGAGGGAGAGGGAGAGGGAGAGGGAGAGGGAGAGGGAGAGGGAGAGGGAGAGGGAGGGGACGGGGACGGGGAAGGGGAGGGGAGGGGGAGGGGAGGGGGAGAGGGAGAGGGGGAGAGAGAGAGAAATAAAGAAGGCGAAGTTCTGGGTTAAATGGTTTGATGTGAGCCAAGGAGCCCTAGAACCTGCCAGTACTGTACCAGAAGTTGGCATGGCCCAAGGTCATGAGCTCCTCCCCTTTTCTGATGTGGATCTGGCGTTCGCTGTTTCATGCAATCTTTCCGCTAAGTACGAGTTGGTAGAAAGAGACTCGAAACTCATTCGAGCTCCAGTGACTACATGACTTATGCAAAGCCCCGAATCAGTGAATTATGGCGAGAAGGTACAAGAGAGTGGCTAGAGAGAAAAGAGGAGCCCAGATGGAAAAGGGAAAGGAAAGATAAGGATACTGAAAGGATTGGTCACACAATATGGTTGATTCCCATTGTGGATAGGATAATGTTTCCTATGGAAGAAGCAGCAGGGAGTAGTAAATACTGTATACACATTTTACTACTCCCTGCTCATTCCTCTCTTCAAGGGCAAAGGCAGTGCCTATCTGCCCACGAACTATAGACCAATTTCACTGCTTCATCCCATCAGCCGCCTCTTCGAATCCCGCATAGCCCATCATCTGCACAGCTATCTTCATCGGCACTGCATAATCTCGCCTAGTCAATTCGCCTACGTTCCTCAAAGATCAGCTACGGATCAACTCATTCTTTTGACCCATCACATTGGCATTGCCCGTCTCTCTGATAGAGGGCAGAAATTTGACTGTGCATTTCTCGACTTCCAGAAAGCTTTTGATAAAGTGCATCATCCCACGCTCCTGAGCCACATGAATACCTTCATGGCGCCAGAGGCACACGCCTGGTTTAGATCATATTTTCTTGACCGTAGTCTAAGTGTGAAGCTCGATGCAACTCATTCATCCCAGTATATGCTAAACTGTGGTGTCCCCCAGGGTTCACACCTTGCACCTCCACTTCTTCTTTTGTATATCAATTCCCTTCCTGATATAGTTAACCATAGCTCACCCTTCCTCTTTGCTGATGATGTCACTCTTCTAAATGCTCATGAATTGCTCATGATGTATCCCTCTCCTTAGATGAGAACCTATCCCATCTCCAGCAGGATCTCGCCAGCTGCCAGCATTGGGCACAGATAATACAATCATGGCAAATTCTCTCCTGAAAAAACCTGCATCTTGTCCAATTACAGCATTCCTGAATCCTCCGCTGTGTCCATGGACAACGTTTTAATCGGATCTGGGCGCTCCGCTAAGCATCTCGGTGTAGAGCTCAGTGATGGTTTGAAGTTCCACGACCACTTCCACACCATCTTCAGGAAGTTCCAGCAACGTGTTAATCTGTTATGCTTTATGGGCCGCCATTTACCATCATCATACATTGCTCTCCTGTATAAGTCTTACGTACGTCCGGCAATCATAAGTTGAGTATGCCATTCCTGTCTGGTCCCTTAGGATCACATCTGCTCAGTTAGAGTCCCTTGATGTACTCCAGGCTAAGGTTTGCCGGCGACTCCTGAGGTCTGCGAAAATAGACTTTGACAACTTTGAATCAAAATCTAATTTGAATAGATTGTGTCACTTGGAATCCCTGCAATTTCGCCGTATCTTCATTTCTCTGGTCGTTTTATTTATGTACATCAATTTCCACCTAGACTATCTCTCTCGCTTTGCGATTACCATCATTATTCTCACGTAGTGCCCGTAGGCCCAAAAAGCTCATTTTTAACTCACATGGCCGAATTCTCATGTCTCTTCCTACAGAAAACTGGTGCACTTTGGAATTGTCTCCCACCCCGATTGACAACTTTAGATTCCCTAACAGAATTCAAGCGTCATTTACGTATTTACATTGCAACGTATCAGTTCGACTGCACTGGTATCCCTTTGATGACAATGATGTGCAATCATTGATTTACATGTACACTGCTTGTGCTTTCACTGTACATGTATCTTTTGTACAGCATCTCTCTGTTTCCGAACTCATTTTGCACATTTTCTCTTTTTCCCAACTCCAATGTTCATTGTATATACACAAATAGGAGATGGTATGGTATGGTATGGTATTGATTTATTTGAATTCGGTATCTCAACAGTACAATGTACGGGAAGATCCGAATGACATAGATACATAAACATGAAAGTGGAGTAGGTGCTACAGCTGATCATTTTATCGCAGGTTGTGGGACTAAACTAATACCAGTATGCAAGTACACAAGAAATAAAAGCTGAATAAATACGACGATCCCCCCGATAGGCGTCAGCCTTTGGGTAATCCTGAAATAAAAGATTATTATTATTAGCAAGAGTCCATAACCCAAGAGTATGCAACTGTGATTATGGGTGCATGCGTGGCGCGCTGCCTTCATTACGTAACTTGCCTTCATCACGCTCTGGAAGCATGCATTCAAACTCTCAATTTCTCGCACGAGCCCATCCGTTTTTGCTCGATTCGTTCCAGTACCTACACAATCTCTGAATTCTGGCGCGTGAACTCCAGTTCCGTACGAAAGTTCAT